CTTTCTCTCCCTTCCTTTCTTCTTTCTCTCCCTTCCTCGTTCCTTCCTTCCTTTCTCCCTTCCTTTTTTCCTTCCTCCCTTCCTTCCTTCCTCTCCTTTCTTTCCCCTGCCCTGTCCTTCCCTCCCTTCTCCTTCCCTCCTTTGCCCTCTCTTCCCCTTCCACTTCCCCCTTCCCTTCCCTTTTCTTCCCTTCCCTTTTCTTCCCTTTTCTTCCCTCCCCTTCCCTTCCCTCTCCTGCTCTGCTCTGCCTCCCCTCCACTCCCCTGCCCTACCCTGCACCATTTTCCCTGCCCTTTCCTGGCCTCCCCTCCCCTTCCCCTCCCTTACCCTTTCCTTCCCTTCTCTTTCTCTCTTATGGGGGGTGATGTTTAAAATTAGTATAAGAGGACAAAGCAGGAGGAGCTGACCTTAAAAAAGTGTGGGTGGACTAATGATCAAACTTTTTAGAATTCTTTCATAACTTCAAGAGGAACAACTCGACCTTTCCCTCTTACTTACTCCTGGAAGTGGGAGATTATGGATTAATGCCCACCACATTCAGAGACTGAAAATATTTGTGAGTCTGGGTACTGCATGGTGGTGGAAGTGTGTGAGTGATCATGATGCCTCCTTAATCAATGTCATCTTTCCTAAGGTCAGTTATCAGAGCCCTGGGAGTTGACTTTACTGTTGAATAACTTTCTAGTGCAGTTTGCCATGGAAAGAAACTCAAGCCTCACTGACTGTATCAAAGGAGGGTAAACACCTTTCTTGCTCCTTCATATGAAAGTTACTGTTGCTTTTTCATGGACAGAAAATTACAGGTTGATGGAACTATATTTTCATGGACATTTTGGTGTCAGAGCCTTTAAACAAATGTATGCTTCGGGCACCTCCCCTCCCCACTCAGGAGACAATGTCTTAATTATTTTGACCAAAGCCAGACCATGTTGTGTGTTGTAAACATCTGGTTTATCATTCATCCAGCTGAACTGGTTTACATTTTCTTAGAAGAAAAGGCTTGGGATTAAAGGCATTTAAGTAATTAAGCACACGTCAAGACAATTTGGTGATGGGTAAATATAGTCTCTGTTAAATGCACCGTCTGGGAGCTCTGGTTTAGATTTACGTCCGGCTGGAGTGCAGGGATGAAAGCACAATGCCAGGCAGACTGGGCCCTGTTCTTGGGAGAATCAAAACCAAATGGGTTTTCAGGAGTATGGCACCCATTCCTCTAAGTACCTGTCCCAGTGGATAAAAGTTTCCTTTGAGTTTGGCCTGGAGGGAATAGCACTGCAGTCCCTGTCACCGAGCAGCACTTGTAGATTTAATGAGACTCTCTTTGGGAGGTAGACCATAAACTTCTGCACTTTGGTTGTTCCTTTGTGTCCAGGAAATCAGATATGTCTATGAAGCTCAGTGCTAGGTCTCAGCTTTGTATGACGAATGTGTGTTTTCAGGTACCGGTGCCGAGTCCTAAGCCCACCCCAGTCATGTTTCTTGGCCCTGCCCCTGTGGATGTGGGACTGTGGTGCTAGGTCTGGTTGTGTCAGGCTGCACAGACGTGTGGTCCATGCTGGGCAGGGAGGAAACATGAGCCTTTTCCTTTGGAAGTTTTTAGTTCTAAACACTAGGCATGAAGTACCTGGTGATTTGAAGGGGACATGGGCACGTCGACTTTGAGGATCAGTGAGGGGCTCCTCAGGGGCTATACTTTGAGCTGAGACATTGTTCCTCTTAAGGAAGACAGGGAAGGGAAAATGTCCTCAGCGCTTTCTCCTTCTCACTGTCCCCCATCCTGAAAGTAATAGGACAAAAGGTTGGGTCTCTCTGTCTCTCCCTGGGTCTAGAGCTGAGAGGAAAGAATATAGATGCAATCCTGAAGAAGAAAACTTTGCCATTATGGCCAGATGGATGGCGCATGATGGAACCAATTAGCCCATTTTTGCTGAAAAGAAAGAAAAAAATCAGAATTTCAATTTTCAAAGCAGTGACTCTTTTTAAAAAACGTTTGATTATTTTCTTCTTGTTTTAAACTGATTTCCATGCTTGTTTGGGGGTAGAATCTTGGTTTCTGAAGTCTGTGGGTGAACCGGGAGGCCAAAGGAATCCCTGTTGTTGGGTAAAGTTGTGGATGAATGCTTAAATTTCAACATGCCTCTCCCGCCCCATTCCTCCTCCTCAAATGTACTTTCTTCTCCTTTCCCCTAGCAGCCACTGATTGGGATCACCCATAGGATACCACCTGAAAAGTAGGGAGTACACAGCTAGAGGGAGCAGAGAAACATCCAGGTGCAGCATTTTGGGGGCTGTGGTTATCTGAGTTAGGACAACTCTGGTTTTATAACTTGAGTCTGCTCCAAAGCAAAGGACCTTTTACCTTGACTCTCTGTCTTAGGAGACAGAACAATCAGCTGGAGTTTAAAAGTTTCTTCATGAGCATAGAATGCTCAACGAAGCAGTGAGGAAGGCGATGAACAAGAGGAATACTGAGATAACGGCAGCCACAGGGCCGGTGACTGTTAGGGCTGCCATCTCGTCTGTGTTTCCAGCCATGAGCTAAGTGCTGTGAGACACACAGGTGAGAGGAGTGCTCTCTGACCCAGGTCAGGCCTCTGGGGAACACAAAACAATGAGCAAACCTTGTCCTGGAAGTGAAGCGAGCTGCCCACTTCCAGCTGCACCGTGCACAGGAAGCTTTATTTGAGATGGGGATTAGGGCGCATAGCTTTAGTGTCCCAATAATTCGAGACATTTCTGAGGATCTGGCAGCTGGGACCAGGAGTTCAGGTTATCGGTCTAATGGCTTAATGCTTCCAGACACTCGGCTACCATGCAAAGTCAAGCTGAGAATTAGCAGAAGAGCTAAGTAGGTGAAACACCTGCTGGACTTTTCCTTGGCGTTTTGGGACTGTCTTCAGGGTCTATACAGCTGCCACGGCAACCATGGGGTGTGACTGTAGGGATTGGGTTGGGTAGGTTCTGGGGTGTGGTCTAGCTGGGGCCTTACCCGCCTGTGATGCTTCAGCCTCTATCCAGGCCTACAGCACTTTGTATTTTTTAACTACAAACTCCCACAAACTCCCCTCCTGGCTTGGGACTCCTCCCTTTGATTATGGTAGGGTGGCTTCATGTTGCTGTGGTTATGGCTCTTGAACTGATTAATGATGCTCGGAGTGAAATTGTAGTCTTGTGAGTCAGACAAATCTGCAGTTCAGCAGACCTCCAGGGCACCCTTCCCCCATCTGCACTCCCTCTCCCCACCCTCTGCTCCTCTCACCCCGCAAAGTTATTTCTCATGTTTTATGTGCATGCCAAGGAGGAAACTTAAAATCAGGAAAGGACTGGCCCTTTGGTGACGCAGCAGTACCAAAACACTCAGCTCTCAACTCATTGGAAGAGCGGCCACTTCTACCGGGCGCCCCTGGCAGCCTCCCGTGGGCCTCCGCTTCCACGTGGGGCCCGGAGAATAGTCTTTGTGCCGTCCAATGTCCTGGAACTGTGGCAAATGGGGGCGAGGTTTGAGGAAGAGGAGGCTGATGGAGGGGAGAGGATTGTCTGAGATCCTCTGCGGTCTCTAAGCATGTGGGTGGGGCATTGGGTAGGAGCGGGAGGTGGAAAGCCATGAATTTTAATGAGTAAATGTTGTCTAGATTTGTTATCCAACCTCGGCGTTTATTCAGAGCCATGCAAATGCAGATTTCTTAGCATTTGGACATCATACATCTTTCCCTCCAAAACCAATTATCTCCTCATCTCACTACAGTCTACAGTCTCTTTGGAAAGAATGGTTCAGGGCAGAAAGTAAGTGCGAGACAAGGGAAATCATTGTGTACCAGAAACTCCCCCTCTCCTCCCCCTCCATGATTAAATGTGGATCCTCGTATGGCGGGATCCTTGGTACTACGAGTTGGTGAGACATAATCCCTCCCGTCTGGAAGCCAGCGACCCAGGACAGACCATCCCGACTCAGACAGAACACACAGATCACGTTATAGTCTCTGAAAAAAACCAAGAATGAAACAAGTAAATAACGATGACTTTATGCCGCGCAGAAGGTTCTCTGTTGTGAGTATAATGGAGTTGGAGGGACAGAGCCATTTGTTCATTTCACATTTGTTTAGTAGGGTCTGCTACGTGCAAGTGGTGTGAGACACTGTTGGAATTAAAACATAAATCTCTTGTATAGTTTTCAAACTTTTTGGTCTCAGGGTGACTTCACACTTTTAAAAATTATTGGGAACACCCAAAGGGTGTTTGCATGGCTATGTCGACCAATGTTTACTGCATGAGAAGTTAAGGCTGAGAAACTGTGAAAGTACAAGAATACACAAACACATGCCATTAGCCACAGGGGATGATGGCAGCACATGCCACAACACCCCACTATGCACTTGTGAGAGAAGAGTGAGAAAGAAAATAATGTCTTAGTGCTATTAGAAAAATAGTTTTGCCTCCAGGGGCCCCCGAAAGCCTCATGAGGACTCCCAGGGTTCCCCAGACCACATTTTGAGAACCACTGCCCTATTGCTTTCTGCCCACCTCAGGGATATTATGGTCCAGATGACAGATCAGTCACAGCCAACACTGCCTTGTGAAACAGCAGGAAGGAGCTCAAAGTGCAGTCGAATGCTCTCACACATACTTTTATAGATCATGATTAAAATGATCCATACAGCCATTCATTCCTATGTGGTCATGGAGCACAGAGATTCGCACCTGACGGTGGTGGAAGGTTATTGGACTGGAATGACTGGAATCTTTGAAGATAGGAGGAATGTGAACTTTGAGACAGCATATTTGATATGAAAACATCATTTTGTATTTAGGGAATGAAAAAATATTGTTCTTGTACTAAGAACCAGAGCTTGACAGAAAGTTCTAGCCTGGCTGATATAGAGGAGGATGCACTGATTCTCAGCTGGGGGGCATGTGAGAGTTTAATAGTTATCAAAAAACCAGGGTTAAGTTGAGAAATGCCTGCCCCAGAGTTACTATTTTCATCTCCCTTTCTTCCGTAGGTATTAACTCTCTGATTGCAAACAATATTTATGAGGCTGCCTACCCTCTTCATGACGTAAGTACCATTTTCAACAGCGTGCTCTCTGTAGTCTTCAGAACGTTGAAAACCACAACTTTTCAGTGGCAATGAAACGGGTGAATACCTGCAGGGTGAGGCAGGAGTGAATCATGACATTAAAATACCTTGGCTGACCCTGGACTGCTCATTGCTGACAATAATCCCCCGTTTGATTTTTGCCAATCATCTCAAATTGTCTCGCCAATGATTTCCCCAGAAGACAAAATACACTGGGCTTTGTCTGAGCTTTCCCTGTACTCCCTGGCTTTGTTTTTCGCAGAAGTGTGACTATACAGATGTGGCATGAGGTGATTAAAGGGAGGAGATATGGGTGAGGGTGGTGGATGGTGGTGGAAGGACACTGAAAGGCCTGGGTGATCCCTAACCTGGGCTGTCAGACCCGTGGCTGCCTGAAAGTGGTATTTTGTATATGAGAGTTTTGTGCAGATGTGAAATTCCTCCTTAACATGCAGGTACATATTAACGAAAGATCATTATTTAAAACAAATTTTTTTTTGAAGAAAATCTCTCAGAATTCCTTGTACGATGCTTTGGTTAAGTAAAGAAAACAGAATGACTGTAATGCAAGCTCTCCTTGACTGGAGATAATGTTATGAACAATAATGTTATGAACTTCCCATGATACAATGCAATGGTATTCTTCAAGACAACTCATGAGAATGTAACTGGTCCTTCAGCTAAATGCTCCATGGCTTCACTATTCATCAGACTGGTCAGGTCTTGGGCACCTGCCATGCAGTAGTGCCATGTGAGACTGCTGAGGTGGGGCTCCCTGACTGCCCAGCAGGAATTTTCTTGATGGGAATCTTCTCATTCCTGATATACTTGCAGTGGCGTATGCACTGCTAAGTTCTGCAGTTATGGACAGAGTGAGCATGTCATGGCACGGGTGATTTTCACATGATGGGCTAAACCATTTAAAGTCTGGAGCTCTGCGTTGCTACGAGGGGGCATAGGCTGATCTCTGAGGTGTATGAGGGGGGCGCATCTTTGTGTGAGAAGTTATCCCAGGAAATGTGGCAAGTGTTGATGGCTAAGAAAATGGAGTATCAGCCCCTTACCATGCCATGCTTTTGACCTTCCTTAAATGGGAGTGAAAAAAAGCAATGATATTAGAAAATAAAAAAAAAGAAAATCCTTTCTCTTTTGGCACCTGTTTCTGGTAATTTCATTGGCTTTATCCAGCATCCCTTTTTCTCCCACAGGGTGAATACAATAGTCCAGAGGACGATATGAATGACAGGAAGGTAAGCCTGCCTCACGCAGCATCCTGGACTTTGGGCATGAGAGACTACGGGTGGGTGTGGAAGTGGCTAGAAGTGCCTTAGATGTTCTCTTTACCTGCTTATCTACTTTGCAACAGTTTCCCCCACCCAGGTATTTGGAAATGTGAGTGTGGTTGCTACTGCACTTAGTGCCTGGAGAGCCACAATGCCAATTGTCCTGAAATATATCTAACGCCCACCACACAGCTCTCACTCCATCTTCCCATGGCAAGACAGCACCAGTTGAGAAACATTGGCTGTCCAAATTCCTTAACTGATAGGTGCAGGAACGGAGACACAGAAGGCTTGAGCACCTTGGCCTGGATGACACAGCCACAGGAAACAGAGATGGGGCTCGGAACACCTCTAGCCCTCAAATCCAGGGTTCTTGCTTAAAACATGTGATGATCCATGCCGTTGTGGCTTTTGGAGGGTCAACTTGAGGTGATTCTTGTTTTCTCTTAGGCAGGCAGGTGGAGTATAGCCACTCCCAAATTATAGATGAGCAATTATAGATGTGAGCGAGGCTCAGTTGTGCTTTGTAGTTCAAGTAGCTAGGAGTTGGAGGTTACAGTTAGGGGAAGGAACGTGGCCCCAACCTCTTCCGTGGGGATGCAGCAATGATCCCCTCATGCCATCCTCCTGCTGGCTTCTCCCCACCTTCAAGAACTCTAGTGAGCAGAGGAGGGTGGGCGATGGTGGGAGGGATGAGGAGCCTGAAGCTCAAGCAACTTCCCTCCCCCACTCTGTTGTCTGGAAAATCATTCATGCCCCAAGTTGCCTTTCGAGCAGGCTTCTTTTTATCCTGCCTATTAGTCCCTGTTATGAAGTGTTAAGTATTAAAAACATAAAAGGTCTTTTCCAGAAATACTGCGGTGATTGCTTACACATGTCCTCTCTCTGCCTGCCCAGGGAATCTGCTGTAGTATTGTGATGTCTTAACTCATCTGTTTTCTATCCGATGCTAATAGTCTCGGTGTTTAATTTCCTGAAAAGTCCCGCATCAGATTTAAAGGAAAAGGAGAAAGCATGTCTCGCCACATCTCACCTCTCTCGCCCAACCATTTTCTGTCCTCCCACTCTCTAATTTTTCCTTCCTTCCCTTTAAATGGTGATCACCATCCATTGCCTGCCTAAGAAAACTCCTGCTGGGTGGTGGTGACCCCAGCCTGTCTAGGAACATTACGGAGACCAGGAACACACAGCAGCTCATAGGAGAAATCAGTCAGCCTTCTGTCACCTGCAGTAATGGAAAAAGTAAATTGCAGACTACTTACAATATCTATGTTGTAGATATAAAAATATGTATTTGTCTTTGGAAAGATATGAAATTACTGTTAACCACAGCAAGGCCTTTTAACAAAAAAATTTCCCGTCACAAAATGTTTCTCTTTGGCTGATATAATGAAGGACATGGAGAAGGCTTGGGAGCTGCAGTATAGGGTGGCCTCTCTGGGGCCTCTAGGGATTATTTACCATGGTGTCCCCACCTGCCCATCCTGCCAGCACCTGGATGTTCTCCTTCACTCTTCCTTACAATCTGTGGCTGTTCCCATGATCTCCCCAAGGCCAGGTTCATTGCAAGCAGTTTCTAGGCAAGCCGAGAGGCCCTAGAGGTATCAGTCTCCCTCTCTGGAAGCTCACCTGGTGCTATTGTGCAGTTTCCATGACTCAGACTCAGGTAGGGCTGGAAGTCTCTTTCTTTCCCCTCCTGGAGGGTCATTAAGAAGAAGCTTCTGGCTGGACGCGGTGGCTCACACCTGTAATCCCAGCACTTTGGGAGGCTGAGGTGGGCAGATCACGAGGTCAGGAGATCAAGACCATTCTGGCTAACAAGGTGAAATCCCGTCTCTACTAAAAATACAAAAAATTAGCTGGGCGTTGTGGCAGACGCCTGTAGTCACACCTACTTCGGAGGCTGAGGCAGGAGAATAGCATGAACCTAGGAGGCGGAGCTTGCAGTGAGCGGAGATCGCGCCATTGTACTCGAGCTCTGGGCGACAGAGCAAGACTCTGTCTCAAAAAAAAAAAAAAAAAAGCAGCTTCCTTCCTCTTGAGAACAAGGGTTTCCTGCCTTCCTAGAAGCCAGGACAACCGAAAGAGGGAGCAGCCTGGGGGTAGATGGGTCCCTCCTGGCTTCCAGCAGCTGCCTAGTTCACCATTTGCCAATGCTGCTTAGTGTCCTGGAAATTCCCCGAGAAGTGGCTGTCGCCATCTGCTCAGGGCTCCCCAGCTTTCACTGACTCTCTGCGGCTTCTTCATCCACTTACAGGGGAGAACTCAAAGCAGAACTTTGGATGTGACTTCCTTTAGCATTCTAGAAACCCTTAGTCCTGGATTTTCTAGCCTTTGCAGGTGGCTGTCTTCCCTAGTGGATAGTTAGTAAGTGACCCACTGAAAACTGTGGAGAGAGAGTCAGTCCTGCATTTTAAAATTTACCTTCCTGACAAGAAAGGCACTTTTCTTCTTGGTTTCAACTGGGGATTCATTTTGCCGTGCTGCACGACTTTCATGTTACTGTATGGAGAAGCTGAGACCTGGAGAGGTGGAGTTACTTACTAAAATGTTCAAACAGGTTAGTGTAGCATCTGGGAGTAGAATCCAAGTCTCTTCCATTCAGGCTGCCGCTGTCCCTTAAATGCCTCCGAGATGGCTACAGCATCTTTCTGCCTGTGTCAGGTCTAGCTGCTGTCTGAGGAGCTTGTGGCCTCAGAGAGGGCCATGAGTCCCAAACACCTTGATGTTCTCTGCCATTACAAAGGGTTGTTGCAAAGAGTTTTTAACACTTGAGTTCCTTTATAGTCTCATGAAATCCTTAAATTGATGACCTCTGTCAAATGTGATCCCTGGGGAGCCAAACTTCCTGCTTCTATGCTCTCATCCATCGTTCCTGCTGTAAATGCTTGGGGCAGACAGACACATATGGGGTTACGTCCAGGGCTCTGGAATCAGGCACTGTCCATTAAGAAGGAGCAGTAATCCCTCCCTGGTGTATTTGCTGGCTTTGCCAGTTGGGAAAGAGAGGACATGGTGAACCTCTAAGGGAGAAAGGGGATTCACTAGGAGTTGCATTAGAAGGCTCTAGACTCTGCAAGTTTAAAGGGCCTGTTACGTGTCTCTGCTTTACTCACACCATACTGGTCCTTATGGGGCAGGACTCCAGAGTGTGCCTCTCTTCACCCTGCCTGCTGGTCCCTTCTGGGGCCTTGCAAGCTGGAGTTCAGCACGATCCGTGACTAAACCTTCTTAAAGATTGGGAAGGGTCTACAGCACTCTCTGCCTCCCTCCCTGCCTCCCCTGCAGGTGACAGAAGGCGTGTGAGCTGGCCGGGCATCCGGGCATAATTGCTGCACCGCCTCCCAGCTTTGGTGCTGTGTCGCTCCAGCTCTCTGTTTCAGGGGCTGCCTGATCACTGCCTCCTCCGTATGCTTCTAGCTTTTCTGTATCAAGCCCAGATAGTTCTCTTGGCTCCTCCTCGTGTATATCCACAAGCCATGGATACATCTTTGTGCTTAAAAGAGACCATGGTGAGAGAGGGACTTTCTGGAAGTCTCTTTCAGCAGGTCTGGGATTCAGCCAGGGGAAAGGCTTCTGAGGTCAGCTCTCAGTTGAGGCCATACTGGATTCTTGGAACATTTTCCGTTGTTTCCTCCAGGCCGGTGGCGGATAGGTGTTCTCAAGCTCAGGTTTGGCTGGACATACGACTTGGGGAGGAATTTGCTCCGGAGGTCAGGGCCTGTAAGGCAAACAGTGACGTCCCATAGCTCTCGAGAGGGTGCCCTGCCTGCATCTCCTGATGCAAGCTTATCTCCCTTTGGGCCACACATGATGTCACTGTGACAACCAGGTGCTGGAGAGCCCAGGGTTTGCACTCAGGAGAGTCAAAACTCAGACATTAGAAGCACCCAAGACGTGGGAGGAGGAGATGTACTAATAACAATAAGATTAGGTGAGCCACTGCCCTGGAGTGAGCAGCAGCAGTGCTCCTGAATTCAGATGTTCCTCTGCCTTCATGCGCAGAGTAACCCCTTGTTGTATCTGAGTTTCCTCCATTGCAAGTGGTGGAACTGCTGGTGCAGTTTGCCTCTTCAGGACCCGTGTAGTTTCTGGTCCTGTTTTGCAGTGGCTGGAAGACATTGTGATAATAAAAGTCTACCACCCTTAAGTAAGATCGCTGGTTCTCATTTCCATTTTAATGTCATGTCTTTAAAGATTCTTAGGTCAACAGGATGGCTCCCTGTAGGGCTGATGTTCAGACGGGCTTCCGAAGTACCCGGTTAGAGTAGGTTCTCCTTGACAGATTTCCTCGAGAGTTGTGTGTGATGTAGTAGGAGCATAAATAATGTAACAAAATAGCAGCTGTATTATAAATCTGTCACTTCCAGACATATAATTTGATAAAGTGCCAATATTGATTCAGCATGGGTATGTAGATGAGGTCTCATGATGATGCCTTACTGAATGATTTTATTTACCGGAATTGATACACAGGTTTAGTGAGACACACGCTGATTCTGATAAAGTTGCGGCAGAAATATTCCCAGATAGCCTGGCCTAATGTGTTCGGTTTTGCCCCTACCCCTCTCCTGGAGCCATTCTTGTCAAGGTGATCGGTGACCTCAAAGCCACTGAATCCAGTGGCCACTGCTCATCTGACCTGACCCATTAGCAACATTTGACACTGCTCGTCCTCTTCTTTTTTTTTTTTTTTTTTGAGATGGAGTCTCGCCTTGTCGCCTAGGCTGGAGTGCAGTGGTACGATCTCGGCTCACTGCAAGCTCCGCCTCCCGGGTTCACGCCATTCTCTTGCCTCAGCCTCCGAGTAGCTGGGACTACAGGCGTGCACCACCACGCCTGGCTAGTTTTTTGTATTTTTAGTAGAGACGAGGTTTCACCGTGTTAGCCAGGATGGTCTCGATCTCCTGACCTCGTGATCTGCCCACCTCAGCCTCCCAAAGTGCTGGGATTACAGGCGTGAGCCACCGCGCTTGGCTATCCTCTTCTTTTCTTTGAAACCTTTTCTCCCCTTGGCTTCCTGGATGCCACACACTTCCGGTTCTCCTCTACACCACTGGCCGTTCCTTCTGTCTCCTTTACCGGTTCTTCATCACCCTCTTGACCTCTAAATGGTGGCGTGCCCAGGGCCCAGACCTCAGGCTTCTTCTGTACTTACTATCTCTTCTTTGGTGATAACATCCATCATTTAATGACTTTACAAAATGTCCTCCTCTTCAGTAACTCCCAAATGTACTGGACTCTTCTTTGAACTTCAGATTGTTATATCTAGCTGCTCGCCATGCCCCTGGATACCCAAAGAGCATCTCAAAAAATGCATCCCCAAGTAAGGTCTTGATTCCACCCCCACTAACCTGTCCTTCCCACAGTCTTTCTCATTTCGGTAAAAGGCATCACCATGACTCAGTGGCTCAGGCCAAGTTCTTATTTCCTCTCATCCCACATCCAATCCAACAGTAAATCTTATAGGCTTTACCTTTAAAATCTAAGCAGAATCAACTAGTTCTTACTGTATCTGCTACTGCCCCCATGGTGCAAGCCATCATCATCTCTTCCCTGGACCATTCCAATAACTTCCCTGTGCCTCTGATCACTCTGTCTGTTCTCCACACAGCAACCAGAGTGAGCCTTCTACAATCTCAGATTGTTTTGCCCCTCTACTGCACATCTCCCAGTGGCTTCCTTCAAAATCCAAATTTCATCCAGTGTTGGTACAAAGATTTTAGCATGGCCTGCAAATCCCCAAGTGATCTGGCCATCCTGGTTCTTTCTGACTTTGTCTCCCAAGTTCTCCCCATGCTCACTCTGCCCCAGCCACACTGGTTCCCTGTTCTTCCTGGGACATGCCATATGCACTTGCCTTGGGGCATTTGCACAAGAAGAGTGTCCCGCCTGGGACACCCTGCCCCCTTCCTTTGTGTCTCAGCTCAAGGTCACCTCCTCAGAGAGGCCTTCCCTGGCCATCCTGTCTACAATAGCACCCCACTCCTCTCCCTTCCTTCACATTCTACTCCCTGACCTTGATTAATTTTTCTTCATTAAGATTTCCAAATCTTATCTGTTTATATGTTTATATTTGTCTCTCCACACCAGGGTGTAAGCAGACTGTGGCTTACTGCTGTATCCAGTGTGGGGACAGTGCCTGGCACATAAGGAGATGTCACTAAATACTTGTTAAATGAGTGAATCACGACCATCAGGGCTCGTTTTGCTGGACTAGGCAAGATATAGGAATAAAGAAGACGGGGTTCTGCTCATCAGGTGCAGGACTGCCGCAGAGTGTGATAAAGTTCACCTCTATTGTTTGGGGAAAGAGAAGCCAGTTTCTGTAGCCTCCTGATTCTGGACATCTCCCCGTGGATGTCTCATGAGGATTTCTTAGAAGCTGGGCTTTGGGGGTAAAATTCTGACTTGTTAGGATGGACAAAATCAGGTGAAGTTTCCCACCTCTACCTCTAACCTGTTTCCTTATTTTCTTTGTTTAGCTGCTATATCAAGAATGGGCGCGCTATGGAGTGTTCTATAAGTTCCAACCTATTGACCTCATCAGGTAAGAGGTGGTAGGGAACTTTTGGAAGGATCCTGGAGATGCAAGTCCTGAAAGATATATCATAAACATTTTGACTCTGGAAGTCTTTTGCTCACGTGGAGGGATCTTCTTTTCTAGCTTCTATGGTCCCCTCATCTGTGTTCCATGGGTGGGGAAGCAGCTGGGGACACGGGAAGGACATGGAGTCTGTGTGGCACAAAAGGTCCTATAGATTGATAGACCATGACCTCCACCTTGAGGTCTTCAACACTGTGGTCTCTGTTCCTGCCTGTTCTTTGGGAGGGGTGCATGGAGCTGTCTCATTTCTTTTCCTTAGTCTTGTCTAGAGAAGAACCTGGATGAAGCTGATTCTTGGGTTATGCCCAAGTGCCAGTGTTGATCCAGGAAAGGGTGGATTTGGCAAATCACATTGGGAGTATGCTGGCTGGCCTGACAGAATGTGGACTTCTTATGGCTTTTCCAAATTAGAAGGGAAGAGAGACTGGGCCCTGGGATTCCTCCCTTCCTTGTTGTCACAGAATGATGTCCTGTTTTCTGGCATCTTGGACATTTCCCCAGCTTCTGTTGAACATGAGTGAAAAGTCCTTTGAAAGAACTTGCTGGAATGCCATAGGTCTGACTACTTTAAAATGGGTTCAGGGCTCTGGAAACTCAGTCTTCTGACTGGAATGTTGGGCTGCAGCACTGTGTGAAAGCACTGGGCTGAAAGTTTGGAGACGTGAGTTCTGGTCTGGGCCTGGCCACTAAGTGCTACCATTTCTTTGGGCAAGTCCCAATTCCTCTTTGATCTTCAGGGTCCTGGTTGTCCTAACTTGGGAGGCTAAGCTGAGGGATCTGTGGGTTCACATGGTAGAATGTGCTCATTTGGAAAAGATGGGCTGCTGGAGCCTGCAGGAGGAGGCTGCGCCATGGTGAACATGGTGGACTCACTGCCCTGCAGTCACCTAATGAGCTAATTAGTCAGTCCGAGAATAGAGCATGTTCCTGGCTGGCTGCCCTGGGCTGGGATTGTGAGAGAGGCAGCAGCCAGGAGACTCGAGTCTAGAGGGAGGAATTCCAGCTTCTTCTTGGAAAGAGAAAGCCTCATGGAGGCCAGAGTTTGGGCAGCTCACCTCCTACACAGAGATGCAGCGGCCCTCCCAGCGGACACAGCTTGGTTGGATGTCTCTTGGAAGCAGGTGTTTGTTCCAGCTGAGGACTATGAACCAAGGTCTTGGATGGGGGAGCAGGGACATGCGGGGCCTGTGACCGAGGCTCCTTCACCCCGTCTCCCGTCCCCTGGCTGCCTTTCATGTGGCATGGGCCACCTAGACTGTTCTCTGGGCCACACCAAGGCTGATCATTCCATTCTTGGTGAGCTTTGATCTTTCTCTCTGGATCTCAAGTGGCCACCCACTCTGTCGCCTGTTTTCTCCAACTACTCATCCGGTTTTTTTAAAGTATGATTAAAAAATAAAAATTCTCCCTACCAGAGAGCCCTGTCTTTTCCCCCAGAGACTTCAGGTGACTTGCCGCCAGCTGAGTGGGAAATGGCTCCAATATGCACTCGGTTTTGGCCACCAAGGCAGCCTCACCTGCAGGGGAAGTATTGCCTTTGGAGGGGAGCCCTGCTCTGGGGCCTGGCGCTTCCTGAGGATGGAGAGCTCAAATCTGTCTAGACAGGGCACAGTGTGCTGGAGCAGGGCCGGAGGCTGTCTACAGCTCCTCACAGATCAGAAGGCCCGGAACACTCCCACGGCCCCTGGGCAAGGCCAAGGCTTGGTCAGGAGGGAGAGGAGGAAGGAACCTCAGGAGAAGGGACGCTGAGCAGCATGTGTGTGGGGAGCCAAGGCAGATGGTGGTGGTGGTTGTCATCCCAGTGGCATAAGGAACTCTCTGACCTCAAGAAACTGCTGGAAAGAGAAGTGATGGAAGGGATGGTGGTGGGGGACGCTAGGAGCAGAGGTGGGCAAGTACCTGGAAAACTTGTAGAGAGAAATGTGGGCTGGAGCGTGCAGGGAGCAGCTATTGACACTCGGTGAGCTCCACACCAAAATCCTCATTTTATGCTCCTTTACCAAATGGTCCTAACTTGCTTTCCCCGATTCTGTCCAAGTCCTCTCCTTCCTCCTCTTCATGATGACACAATCTGAGACCTCAGTAATCCCTGACTGGCCTCACTCACACTTCCCACTTCCCAATCTAACTCTGAGTCTTGGGGATTCTTCTTTGGCACCATTTCTCTCTTTTGCCACTTCCTCTCCATTATTCCTGCCACCTCCTGTCGGGGCCCACCTGCCTGCAGAGTCCAGCCTGTGGCTCCCTTCTTGAGCCATCCCAGGCCCCACACCATGGCAGTTTTGCTCCATGACTAGTTACTACCATGCATGGCACCCTCCGTGTGCCTCACAGAGAAGTTGCCCTCATATGGTCTGTGCTGGAAGAGTGACGGAGCAGGGGAATCTTGGCACAGGCGGAACATGATAATTCATGCACAGGCCTGGCCAAGGTCTTTCCCACCCATTTCTTTGGGTATTCAGCTCCTCATTTTTAGCGCCAAGCTTCTGTTCCTCCTCTGGAGCCCTGGTGCTCCTCCTCTGTGCCAATTGTTTGGAAGATTCTAAAACCTCTGTGTGAGCCATTGAGAGCTCATGGGGCGGGAGACCTGTTTGTATGTGGAAGGCCCCGGGACTAGCTCTCCTTCCCCTTCTGCAGGCCTTCAGGCCTCATTTTGAGTCTTGGGGTTTGAGACACCATTCCTGGATGTTGAAAGTCGACAGAGGGGAAGCAAGATGCCCTTCCCTGCACCCCTGGCCCCTGCCTCCACCCGGCTGCAGCGTCATTCGTGCCCAGCAGGCTGCACTGTGAGACTGCTGATGGCCTCCAGCCCCATAGGGCTCTCCTCCTGATCCTGCCTCTGCTCTGGAGACCAGGGGCCTGCAGGCCTGAGTGTGAGTGAGCCAGTATGAGAGAGAGTGTGAGTGTGAGAATGTGTTAGTGTGAGAGTGTCTCTGTGTGTTGTGTATGTACAAGAGTGGGTGTGTGTGTGAGTGAATGTGAGTGTGTGCGTGTGAGACTGTGTGCGTGTGCCGGAGAATACTTGTGTCTGGGAGAGTGCGTATATGTGAGGATGTGTGTGAGCGTGCATGAGTGAATGTGAGCGGGTGAGTGTATGTGTATGAGCGTGTGGAATGTGTATGTGCATGCTTGTGTAGATGTGTGTGTGAGTGTGTGTGAGCGTGTGAATGAGTGTGAGAGTATGTGTGTGAAAAAGAGTGAGAGTGTGTGTGTGAAAAAGAGTGTGAGTGTATGTGTGTGAGTGGGTATGAGTGTGTTCATGAGTGTGTGTCAGTGTGAGAGTGTGAGTGTATGTGAGTGTGTGCATAAAGTGTGTATGAATGAGGATTGTGTGTAAGTTGGGTGTGTGAGTGTGTGAATGAGTGTGTGTGAGTGTATGTGTGTGTGAGTGGGTATGAGTGTGTGAGTGTGTGAGTGTATGTGTGTGTGAGTGGGTATGAATGTGTTCATTATTGTCAGTGTGAGAGTGTATGTGAGTGTGTGCATAAAGTGTGTATGAATGAGGATTGTGTGTAAGTTGGGTGTGTGTGTGTATGTGAATGAGTGTGTGAGTGTGAGTGTATGTGTGTGTGAGTGGGTATGAGTGTGTTCGTGTCAGTGTGAGAGTGTATGTGAGTGTGTGCATAAAGTGTGTATGAATGAGGATTGTGTGTAAGTTGTGTGTGAGTGTGTGTGTGTGAATGAGTGTGTGTGTGAGTATATGTGTGTGTGAGTGGGTATGAATGTGTTCATGATTGTCAGTGTGAGAGTGTATGTGAGTGTGTGCATAAAGTGTGTATGAATGAGGATTGTGTGTAAATTGTGTGTGAGTGTGTGAATGAGTGTGTGAGTGTGTGAGTGTATGTGTGTGTGAGTGGGTATGAATGTGTTCATGATTGTCAGTGTGAGAGTGTATGTGAGTGTGTGCATAAAGTGTGTATGAATGAGGATTGTGTGTAAGTTGTGTGTGAGTGTGTGAATGAGTGTGTGTGTGAGTATATGTGTGTGTGAGTGGGTATGAATGTGTTCATGATTGTCAGTGTGAGAGTGTATGTGAGTGTGTGCATAAAGTGTGTATGAATGAGGATTGTGTGTAAGTTGGGTGTGTGTGTGTATGTGAATGAGTGTGTGAGTGTGAGTGTATGTGTGTGTGAGTGGGTATGAGTGTGTTCGTGTCAGTGTGAGAGTGTATGTGAGTGTGTTCATGATTGTCAGTGTGAGAGTGTATGTGAGTGTGTGCATAAAGTGTGTATGAATGAGGATTGTGTGTAAGTTGGGTGTGTGTGTGTATGTGAATGAGTGTGTGAGTGTGAGTGTATGTGTGTGTGAGTGGGTATGAGTGTGTTCGTGTCAGTGTGAGAGTGTATGTGAGTGTGTGCATAAAGTGTGTATGAATGAGGATTGTGTGTAAGTGTGAGTGTGTGTGAGAGTGTGTGTGAGAGCTCTCTGGAAAGTTCCCTAGGGAGGTATCCAGCAGGAACCTTGATGAGTGAGTGCACCCCAATCCAGAAGACCTCCTGGGTACTTCCAGCCAGCAGCACTTGTGCCCTGGCAGAAACATGGCTTGTGACTGATAATATAAGGAATGATGCTGAGCTAGACCGAAATGGCTCTTCTAGTCCTTCAGGGAGCTGGAAGAGGGTCCTCACAGCTGGAAGAGGACCTTTCTGCCTGCACTTCGCTGGTTCAATGCCCTAAAACCCAGGAGGAAAACAGCCCTTATTTTCTGGGAAAACTTGGGGACTGGAGGGCTTTTGGATTTGTACAGGTCCGATCCAGTACTAGTCAGAGCCATAATCTATCTTTTTACTAAAATTAATATCTACTCCCAGGCTGATTTTCTTAGCTTGGACGTTTTGATATGAATGAGACAAAACCGTAGGTCTGAAGCATCTTCTGAGTTTGATTTCTCTTCTGACTATACTCTGCTGAAACTTATGTCCAAAAAGTTTATTCTAAAGCAG